GGGGGGGTCTGGGGGGGGTTGCATTTGAATGGATTATATGGCAGTGATGGTAAGAAGAGGAAGGTGTTCAGGACTGTAGCCCCTCCTGTCACCCCCAGAGCCTCCCCTTTCCTTGCTTGACTCCATTTTCCTGAAGGTGCAGAGGAGGATCACCTAATGACCAGTCAGTGTCCAGCAGGGAACCAGAAACCACATAGATACTTAAGGGCTTCCATGCAGAGGATTAATTACGAAGACATTGGCAGGCCAGAGGTGCCAAAGTGAGAAAGAAGCGTTAGCCAGAGATGAAAAAACTGCTGTCACCCCTGGTAGAAGCTCGCACTTGTCACAAAGCTCCTGGAAGTTCCTTCACTGCTGTGAAGTAGAAACCGCCCACGCTGAATGCCCAACTCTGCTGCTGGAGTCACGTCTGGTCACCCTCCATCGCCTGCTCCTGCTGCTGCCCCCATCAGAAGCTCCGCCTCATCAGGGGAATGGAAAGGCTGCGTCTTTCCTCTTGTCTTCCAGCCTTCCTCCCGGATGTCACACAATCACAACTGAACAGGAAGCCAGCTGGCAAGAGTCTGGGAAATGTCTGTTACAGGCATGCAGCCTGAGGTGCAGAGTAGAGCGGAAAGCACTAATGATAGGCAGAGGTGGAAACCGGGTTCTTTCTGCTACCACCATCAGCCTTGTTCTCTGGAGGTCCACTTGGGTGGGAATTGTTCTGATCGTGAAAACACAACCATATTAGAAACTTCAATTTTATGTATGTAATGGTATAAGTAGCCTGCTGATCCCCACCAGTTGGCTGGCCATGTTATTTAAGTAACCACAAAGTTACTTAAAAAGTGGTATTTGAAAACCTTCCAGGGTCTCAGTTGTTCTGATTACTCATTTAAGAATTTAGTAGATTCTTCAGCAAAAGTAGATTCTTTAGTGAGGTCCTTGTCATTATTTTTTGAAACTACTCAAATAGAATGATACATATATCTATGAAAATTCTTACACTCTAGTGCTACACAGTTAGAATTGGCATTGAGGGAGAGATTGTTTACAGTAGCAAAAAAATTAAAATACTAAATTAAATTAAAATTAAATGTCAATTTGATAAAAGTTTTTTATTTTTTTATTTTTTATTTATTTTTTTAATTTTTATTCAAAGAAAATGGCACAGTCCTAATGGGGGAAATGAAGTGAATAATAAGATATAACTTCCTCCTGGCTGAAAGGTTAAATATAGTAAAGACATTTCTTAATATATAAATTTATTATCATAGCAATAGGTACCTATATTAATTGAGATATGACTTTGCATTTAACTAACAATTGCTTAAATAAGACAGAAGTTTATTTCTCCATCACGTAACAGTCCAGAGGCAGGCAGTCCTTGGTGGAATGGTGGCTCTGCCTTTGGGGTTGTCCAAGGACCCAGGCCCCTTCTCTCATGTTGCTCCACCACCCCTTAGGTGCTGTGCTCTCTGTGTGGGCTAGAATGGCTCATCATGTGTCAGTATTTCAGCCAGTAGGCAGGGGGATAAAGGAAAAAGGGGAGTATGCCAAGGAAAGCACCCTGGAAGTTGTGCAAGTCACTTCTTATATCCCATTGATCAGAACTTACTCATGAGGCCATACCTAGGTCCAAAGGAGGCTGGGAAATGTAGTCTTTGTTCTGGGAGGCCCAGCTAAAAATCCAGAGTTCTATTAAGTTGAGAGAAGGGGGAAACTTATTTGCGGTGGGAGATGTGTTAATTTTTCCTGCAGTACTTTTTGGAATATTATTTAGAAATTGAAAATTTGAGAATAAAATTAATTCAAACTTTTAAAATTGCCATATTTTCTTTTTTTTTCTTAGTGTAACACTTCTGTTTTTAATGTTACACTTTCTTTTTAAACTTTTTATTACAGAGAACTTCATACAGAAGGGTGAGAGTATTGAGAATTGTATGACGAATCACATGTACCCATCACCCAGCTTCAACAGTTAACAGTTTAAAGCAAGTCTTGTCTCATCTATTCCCCTGCCACATACTTACCCTCTTCCTGGTTCTTTTTTTTTTTTTTAAGATTTTTATTGGGGAATTGGGGGGGTGGGAACAGCGCTGGGGAATTGGGGGAAGGGGAACAGACAAGTTGCGCTCTTCCCGGGCAAGGTGGATCAGTCACC